CTCTTATGTTCTCTTTGAAGCCACTGCTGAAAGTAATGAGTAATATTTGTACCTGCGAGTGTTTCCAGTACAGACACTCTTTAGGTCACAGTTTGGTGTTTTTCAGTGTTACATTCATGGATTTACTCTTTCGTCACGTGACCCTCTGACCGGTCCTTGGTGCCGCCGCCACAGACCTCAGCTGTCGTCAGGACGTTCCAAAGAGAACCTTCCAGAGGGGTCTGGGATGAACCACTTCTCCCAGCGATCTAAATGCACAGCAGGGTAATTCCAGGGCTTGAACGGGCCATTCCAGTGCAGGAGGTGCGCCTCCTGGAGGAAGCTCTCTGGGTGATGGACATCCGGACTCCAGCCTGGACACACAGCGAAGCTTTTTGGAAACTGAGCTGACGCTGGCACTAATATCCCAGCTGTGTGTGAAGATCTTACCCAGGTGCCTGACGTGCCACAGAGGGTCCAGTATCGTGTATTTGTCATGAAACACGATTAGCATGGGTGGGGTTGCCACGCCCCCTGCCATGGCACTGCTGTATATGTTCTGTCTGTTGGTGAGAAGGGTTTAAAAATCAGATGCTTCAAGTGGCCAGTGAAAACCAAACAAAGAGATTTGTTATACACCAGTGAGCCTGCATCAGCTACGTCTGCAAGGCTCTGAACAAAACAGTTTACGTCACATAACCTGCTAATGGGATCAATACGCTCGTGGGGGGAAGGACTGTTTAGTGCTTAAACCTAATCAATGAACAAGAACAAGTGACTGAAGACAAACAATACATGAACAAATGAAAACCACATAAACAAAGATAAAAAGATGGAACTGTGTGTCACAGCACGCATGCAAAAGGACTCTGTGCATAATTCAGACATGCCGACCACATCTGAAAGAACTCTGTGATTGGGATGAAGTAGGAAAGACTTTTGTGAGCTGAGTAAAGTTCAGTTCCACTCAGCGTGGCCACAAGCTGCATGCTCGTTCATGCAAACGAAAAGTTATGTCTATAACTTCTGTTCCCTGAAGGAGAGGAACGAGGTGCAACACATAATACGGGATATCACGCCCTCGCGTGTCCTGGCTAAAGAAACCTTTATTCACGCCTTTAAGGCAGATGGCGTGTGATGACACGCGCACAGCCCCGCCTGCACATATAGCCGCTGTCATCACAGTCATCCCTTGATTGCCGCTCTTCACCGAGCCAAACTGCTCAGTGGGGCCACCTTGTGTTGTACCTCGTTCCTCTCCTTCAGAGAACAGAAGTTATAGACATAACTATTTGTTCCCTTTCAGTCGATTCACTCGGTACAACACAAAAGTATGGGACATATATACATGCCTCACAGAGCAGCCACCGAACCGGAATCGGACCACCACATCCTTAGTGAGCGGTAGACCCAGCAGAAAGGACAGCATGAGCCACTGAAGGGCCTGTAACGTCCAACCGATAAAACC